AATCCCTTTTATGAGTTTAATTCTCCTTTTTACTCCCCAGCACTCGAAGCTAGAGTACAAGCATTAGCCGCCAAGCATTTACATTAGCCGCCAAACACAATATCGATCAGTTTGAACTAAGATACAAATATAGTGGTTTCAACCCATTATGGGATAAGCAAATGATTTCAACCCATTATGAGGTACGACCATTATTATAAAGAGTCATCACTTGATAATTCAGTACTGGAATCCTTCTCCTCCTGTGTCACGAATTTAGTAGATATGGGTATATGATTAATTGCGCATAATTTTATATGAGTAGCGATCGTTTTAGCAGTGTCTGAAATGATTAGCCTATTAATTGATTCATTACTAACAGGTAGGAGTTTATTAATACAAGCTGCAAGATCATCAATATCACTCTCACTAATTTGCTGAATAGTTAAAAATCCATTCAAATATAAATGAGTTCCCCTGGTTCCTTTCAAGATATCTAGCGCCTGAAGTTGATGAATAGCATGTCGATCTTCTTCTGTTAAAGAATCTTCTTGTGGAAAGTATTTTGTAGCTCTTTGAATCTCCGAAAAGATGATAGACAGGGAACCCAAATTTAGATCATCCAACAAAATAGCTAATGCCGAAGCTATAATGTGTACTTGATGTTCTAACGCTATCAACACAGTTCTATCAACTCCATATTTTTGTCCAACAATTTCTATCGGTAATTCATACTCAATCACATCGTATAATAAAGTCATACCTATGTACCTATACAGGTTACGATAATGTACAAAATATTTAAACTCCATCAAACTCACATTATCCATAATAACTGCAGAATAAAATTGCTTTAATTCAGGCAACTTTACAGTACCATTTACCAACAACTCTATACAACGTCTTAAACGGTCACCCACTCTCTTTTCATTATCATCTCCTCCTCCAACAGCACCTCCTCCAACAGCACCTCCTCCAACAGCACCTCCTCCAACAGTACCTCCTCCAACCACACCTCCTCCAACCACACCTCCTCCAACAGCACCTCCTCCATCAGTGCTCTGAGATTCTGACAAATCGTATAGGTCGATTATTAAAGAATTGATCCCGATTTGTTTTATGTTCAAATCTACTAATTTATTGTAGTATAACAGCTCGGGGTTCACGCACAGCCCCAGCAAACATGCTCGATCGTTTAATGGGATGCCGATTCTCAGAAATTTGTTCAATAGACAAACTGTGTCCATCATCAACTCGAATGAGATCGGAGATCTTACACAACTATTACCTAATGGTGTCACATAAATCATCTGTTTATTACCCACTTGCTTGTCTTCCATCAAATTGTCTTCCATCAAATTGTCTTCCACAAGCTTGCCTGATGAATGATTCGTTGTCAGTGCATCCTTCATTATAAGCAGATACCTGCCCATTACAGTTGGCTCAGCAGGGGTGGTATCGGTGATATCACTTGAGCCCGTAACGTTTTGGCTCACGGTATTTGTCCTCTGGTTTTTTGGGCACGCCCCACGGGGACGTTGATAAATGTGTTGAACCTTTCCCAGCCGTATTGAACATGATAACAGCTCCTTGCATTGCTGAGGTGTGCACGACCACAGTTCCTTGAATAGTAGCATTTCCTTGTGAAAGATTTTATACATGTTGAGATCCTGGTTGAAGAATACAGACAAGTAGAGGGGGCTTAAGCGTAGTGATTGGTACCAGCCTTGGGACCAGTCGAATGTTACAGATGTTAAATCGAGGAATCGCATACTAACAAGAAATGCTATGATATGAATGACAGTACCGGCATCTATCTCTTTATAATAAAAGGAGTTAGACCGTAGTGCCGAGAGTAGACGGGGCATAGACCATGTGATGTTTATGGCGAATAATTCCATTATGAACTTTGCTAGGTCGGTTACGTTTCGTTCTGGGAGTAAAATTGGTTCGTTCTTCAATGATGCGATCTTCAAGCGTATCGGCAAACCTGAAGAGCGAGATGGACGTGATGAGGCATTCTTCGGTTCCAGCCATTGTTGAACTTGTTTATACTCCGCAGGATTCTCACAGCACACGTAGACTTCGCCTTCAACAGATTTGGAACGTCCAGCTCTTCCACTAATCTGGTGAAAAGTCTCCCATGTCATTCGTTGTATTGAACGGATGCACACACGATGGACAGGTAGGTTTACACCCATTGCTAAAGTTGTGGTACAACAAATCACTAATATCTCTTTCCGGGAAAAAGCTCTTTCAATCTCCTGTCGTTCACACCATAAAACGTCACTGTTGTGATAAGCCATTCGATACCTAACCGCTTCTTTTAAGGAATTATTGCTATCTTGAAACCTATCTACTAAGCTATGACCACCAGCATCATTATCCGGATGCATAAGATCATCCAGATTGGTACAATCAGTTTTATCTATGATCCTCCAAGCCTTGATTGAAGAAATTAATTTTCGACACAAGCTTACAGTCCAGGCTTTAGTCGGACAAAAGATCAACAAGCCCTTCCGCTCTTTAAGACTCTGGTAACATAATAGACCAACTAATTCCAAATCCTTTTGTTCTATCGCTCCGTACCAAGGTGAGGAGGAGTCTTGATCCACTGTTCCATCATCCGGTCGTGACTGCTTCGAGTTTTCACCAATACGAAGACCGTTTATATTACATAAGACATGCTCCCCCTTCATATCAACCATGGTCTTCAGCCATGTCTTGATGGCAATGAACTTTAACTCCCGGGGTCGATCATTCACCACAACAACATCACACGAAATTCGGCCGGTACCGTCTTCCGAGAGCGCCTCGTTAATGGAGAGCGGCTCGTCAATGGACCCGGACATAACTTGCTCCACCTGATTTGCTACATTTGATTTGCTCCCTGTCTTGACTGTAGCACCGACGAGCATACTTTCGCCTTCCATACTCACACCGAGCATACTTGCGAACCTGTCTGGATCTGCTAGTGTACCTGACAAGCATATAATCTTCGTCGGTCTCTTTCCTAACTTAACTTGGACGGTTTGTATTAATCTTAATTTTGCCAAGAGATTCTCGACTGCGGGACCTCTTGATGCTTCAGATATCAGATGCGCTTCATCTATTATGAAAACTCCCAACAGATCGAGAAGAGGAGAATTATGTCCGAAATACCTTGCACAACCGTTAATATCTTCCTGAACGGCAGAAGGTAGATCCTGGCTCAAACTACCATAGATATAATGTCCCTCAACGGGAAAAATTCGCGTGTGCGAACAATGTGTGCGAACAATGTGTGCGAACAGTGTGTGCGAACAATGTGTGCGAATAGTGTGTGCGAACAGTGTGTGCGAATAGTGTAGATAGTTGAATGTATGTATCCCTCATTACTTGTCATAGGGAATTATGGGATGTTGAGAAAGCAGCTTGTTAATGATGTTATTACATTTTTCTGGTGTGGTAACGGTGACGTCTGACTTAGTATTCCACGACTTCGAGTTAGACCCCCCCCCATATAATGGAGTAATAGTAATAATATCCTTAAACTTTTTTGTGAGACTTTTGAACTTCTCATTACACAATGAAATTTGAGGCAGCACATAGAATCCATTTCGTCCGTGTATGAGTAATTCATGTATCATCAACAGCTCTGCAACTACGCTTTTCCCTCCGCTTGTCGACACACAACAAAGTAGATTAGTGGCGGTACTATTTAATGCCTTCAGTTGCCAGTCGTAGAATGAGTTTATCCCATCGATATCACGATATTTCCGAAAGATATTTATGGGCATTTGATTCAATACATCCGGTCGTATAGACCCTTGTTCATCATGCTTGTATATCGTTGAAATAAAAGTTTCGTTGAATTGCTCTAAATCCCGGATACCGTGTGCCTCTAGCAAACGTTTCTCGTATTGTGCTATCTTATAAGCAGATGGTACACGGTGTGATTCGCCATGCAAGTCAACATACATGGGTTCGGAGTCATTCTGTTGTCGCCATGCTCCTAATCGTCTCCGAGTTCCCATTCGCCTCGTGCTCCATGTCTTAGGTCTCAGCCGTTTTCCAACCTTCATGCGATTCTCTTTGCCTTGCTGCCATCCCATTCCTTCACGTACGTCTGGTTAATAATTCTTTTATTCATAATCGGGAGTTCGTTTTCGGTTCAAAAAAGGATTCAAGAAGAAGACCTAAGAAGAAAGTACTGAAGAGGTTTGATTGGGACATTCATTCACTCACTGCTTGTCACAGCTTTTACTAACATTAATTGTCACGTACTGTAATTGTCACGTACTGCAATTGTCACGTACTGTAATTGTCACGTACTGTAATAGTGTGTGTACTAATAGAGCCAGAAATGGAGCACAGTGCGTACGAGGTGATAGATGAGCCAGTGTACCTGAATGTGTACGAGGATGATGACTTCGAGGATCGGGCCGCTATGAGTTTGTTAAAGACCATCAAGCAAGTGATATGTGTGTCTGAAACGGACACATTATGGACAGGGAAGTATGCCATCATTGGATTGTCAGGTGGTGTTACTCAGGAAAAGGTGTATGATCGATGTTACGACATGATGATCCGGGATGCGACTGTAGACTGGACACGGCTAGTTTTGTTTCTTGTCGACGAAAAGTACCCGTCGACGGATTCTTTGTGTATGGATCCGGTCGCGACACCACAGCCTACATCGGCCCCATTAAGGGTGGAACCGAAAGAGTTTGACCTGCCGAAGCAACCAGAAAAACGCCAGACACAGGGCAAAGAGTCTAACGTTCGTCTCATTCTGAGAACTCTGCTGAAACCGGGTAGTCCTATTCCTTTGGCAAATTTCATACACCCTGATACGTCCCTTACTCTTGCGGATTGTATTGAGGCGTATGACAGACGTCTGCATGGCATATTTCAATTTTCAAGGCCTACTGCCGTGGTTCTAGAATTAGGAATGGATGGCAATGTAGGTGCTTGGTTCCCTCCGTTAACCACCGAGATGAGACAGAAGGCATACGACCCAAGCTTATACGCTACATCTACCCGAACATCATCTTCTAATTCACGCATCACAATACCTTTGCATTTGATCGTAAGCGCTAGAACAAAGTTATTTTTCTTACATGGTACTCCAGAAGTAAATGCCTACAAACGGGTTGTGATGCAAAAGACCTGTAAGGAAGTTGCGCCAGCTAGCCCCACTGGCGCGATTGTGGATGCTAATACACTTGAAGAAGGAGTTAAAGAACAACCGTTAGTTCAGATGGTTCGATCAGGTAGTTGTGTTTGCATATGCTATCCTCCGATAGATAGAGACCAGGTCGTTTGCTTAAGGGAGGAGTGGGCTGGAGTTGACGGTGTGCTGAATATTGTAATCCTTGGAGCTTCAGGTGACCTTGCTCAGAAAAAGACATTCCCTGCTCTATATAGTTTGCACTTGAGTGGTCACCTACCACCGAACACCAGGATCCATGCGTATGCGAGATCTCGGATGGACGAAGGCAAGTTATGGAGCAAAATTGGGCAAAAAATTTTGTTGCTGAATAAGGACATATTGGGCAATGAGGCAGAAGATCGTCATGTCAAAGAATTCATGGAGAGGATAGAGTACCATCAATGTCAAAGTTATGATGACCCGGAGTCTGCAGCCAAGCTAAATTTAAGACTTAAGGAAATCGAGAGTCCTTTTACAACCAAAAGATTAATTTTGTATTTGGCATTACCCCCTAATCAATTCATACCAGCAGTAGAAGCCTTCCGGGAGAACTGTTGGAGAAGCGAATTATGTATGAGTCGTGATACCACCCTTGATTCGGAACTTACTGCGGAAGGCCTCGGTGCGGAAGACCGTGGTGCGGAAGACCGTGGTGCGGAAGACCGTGGTGCGGAAGACCGTGGTGCGGAAGACCGTGGTGCGGAAGACCGTGGTGCGGAAGGCCGTGGTGCGGAAGGCCGTGGTGCGGAAGGCCGTGGTGATAGTCCGATCTCGGCTAATTCTCAACCTCGGTCGAGTGGGCATGGGGGTAGTCCGGCACCGGCAAAGAGTCCGACAGTCACGCGGCCGAGTGCTCGGGCTGACTGGACGCGTGTGGTGGTAGAGAAGCCGTTCGGTCATGATTACGATAGTGCTTTGGAAATGTCGTCGAATTTGCAAAAGTATACGAGAGAGGAGGAAGTCTACCGGATTGACCATTATCTAGGTAAGGAAATGGTTCTGAATCTTTTCGTTCTGAGGTTTGCCAATAGTTTTATAGCCCCATTGTGGAATCGGCATCATATTAATTGCGTTCGCATTACCTTCAAGGAGAAGATTGGTACCATGGGTCGTGGTGGATATTTTGATAGTTTTGGTGTCATTCGAGATGTTGTACAGAATCATCTGATCCAGATTCTGTCTTTGGTAGCAATGGAAACACCAGTAACATTACGCGACGAACACGTGCGCGATGAGAAAGTAAAACTTTTGCGAGCTGTTCCACCTACGAAGCTGGAAGATACAGTCCTTGGTCAGTACACAGCGGGCGACGACATGCCAGGTTATCTCGATGATCCAACGGTCCCTCCCGATAGCTTATGTCCTACTTTTGTAACTACAGTTCTTTGGGTGAATAATGAACGGTGGTCTGGAGTGCCTTTTATTTTGAAGGCAGGCAAAGCTCTGGAAAAGCAGACTGCAGAAATCAGAGTACAATTCCATCCCCCTCGAAACCACCTCTTCGAAAATACTCCCTGCAATGAACTCGTCCTTCGCATCCAACCTGATGATGCCATCTACATGAAGTGCTTAAGCAAACGACCTGGCCTGGGCACTCAAGATGACTTGGTCGAAACTGAGCTCGACCTCAGCATTCTCGATAGACTTCATGTGAATAGAATCAATGACGCCTACGAACGACTCCTCCTTGATGTAATCAACGGAGATAAGAAAAAGTAACACCCTCCCAAGCACACCACATGCACACTTCACTTCATGCACACTTCACTTCATGCACACTTCACACTTTCACACTTTCACACTTCACGCAACTGTTCTGGCTAGTTTTGTGCGTACCGATGAGTTATTGGAAGCGTGGCGGATATTTGACCCGCTCCTGAACAAAATTCAAACGGAGAAGATAAAACCAGAATATTACAAGGCAGGGTCGCAAGGGCCAATGAGTCACTACGAACTCATCAAACGTTTAGGCTACCAGCGTTATGAGGGTTATGTGTGGCATAAGAGCTAGTGTTTTAAATAACTAATTTTTGGCAAGCACACACGTGTTCCCATAATGGGGTGTTCCCATAATGGGGTGATAGGTCGATAAACACATCCCTAGGACCTATTATCGTGGGTTCTAGCTAGCTAACTAACTACGATGACTACATGGCGTTATTGAGTTGTGAACGAACGACTGCAGCAGTCCTAGCGGTGATATTAAACACTCCAGCGGCACACGCCACATCGATGCAGAACGAATTTTCATACTACAGCACATATGATGGCCGCGTGGGGGTATACTCAGCACGTATGCGCACACACCACTTCGATTGGGACCACTTCGATTGGGACCACTTTGGTTGGGACCACTTCGGTTGGGACCACTTCGCGTTGGGAGGTGTGTGCTTACTCATCGTTGTTATTTAGGGCTCCAAGAAGCCAAAGCAGCTCTGAAATCGTTCCCGTTTGATTCTTGGGGTAAGTGGCCTTGCCCTTGTAATACTCTCTCACAGCCGTTTGAACAGTCTGGAACGGGGCGACTACAGAGCGGCTATTGTTGCGGAATGCTGCTGGGCGCGGGGAGGGGG